TGGGTTCCTATGTGAGTCTATGGGTCTCTGTGTGAGTCTATGGGTCTGGATGTGAGTCTATGGGTTTCTATGTGAGTCTATGGGTTCCTATGTGAGTCTATGGGTCTCTATGTGAGTCTATGGGTCTCTATGTGAGTCTATGGGTCTCTATGTGAGTCTATGGGTCTCTGTGTGAGTCTATGGGTCTCTATGTGAGTGTATGGGTCTCTATGTGAGTCGGTGGGTCTCTATGTGAGTCTGTGGGTCTCTATGTGAGTCTGTGGGTCTCTATGTGAGTCTCTGAGTCTCGATGTGAGTCTATTGGTCTCTATGTGAGTCTATGGGTCTCTATGTGAGTATATGGGTCTCTATGTGAGTCTATGGGTCTCTATGTGAGTCTATGGGCCACTATGTGAGTCTATGGGTCTCTATGTGAGTCTGTGGGTCCCTAAGTGAGTCTGTGGGTCTCTATGTGAGTCTGTGGGTCTCTATGTGAGTCTCTGAGTCTCGATGTGAGTCTATTGGTCTCTATGTGAGTCTATGGGTCTCTATGTGAGTATATGGGTCTCTATGTGAGTCTCTGAGTCTCGATGTGAGTTTATTGGTCTCTATGTGAGTCTATGGGTCTCTATGTGAGTCTATGGGTCTCTATGTGAGTCTATGGGCCACTATGTGAGTCTATGGGTCTCTATGTGAGTCTGTGGGTCCCTAAGTGAGTCTGTGGGTCTCTCCGTGAGTCTATGGGTCTCTGTGTGAGTCTATGGGTCTCTATGCGAGTGTATGGGTCTCTGTGTGAGTCTACGGGTCTCTATGTGAGTCTACGGGTCTCTATGTGAGTCTATGGGTCTCAATGTGAGTCTATGGGTCTCTATGTGAGTCTATGGGTCTCTATGTGAGTCTACGGGTCTCTATGTGAGTCTATCGTCTCTGTGTGAGTCTATGGGTCTCTGTGTGAGTAATGCATCTCTGTGTTAGTCTATGGGTCTCTGTGTGTGTCTAAGGGTCTCTGTGTAAGTCTATAGGTCTCTGTGTGAGTCTATGGGTCTCTGTGTGAGTCTATGGGTCTCTGTGTGAGTCTATGGGTCTCTATGTGAGTCTATGGGTCTCTATGTGAGTCTATGGGTCTCTGTGTGAGTCTATGGGTCTCTGTGTGAGTCTATGGGTCTCTGTGTGAGTCTATGGGTCTCTATGTGAGTCTATGGGCCTCTATGTGAGTCTATGGGTCTCTATATGAGTCTATGGGTCTCTATGTGAGTCTATGGGTCTCTATGTGAGTCTATGGGTCTCTATGTGAGTCTATGGGTCTCGATGTGAGTCTATGGGTCTTGATGTGAGTCTATGGGTCTCTATTGCGGGATTGGTACATCGTGCGAGCGTGATTGATGGGTGCAGCTTGAGACGGTCGTCATGCAGCAGTGGATAGATCGTTGCTGATGATGATGAAATGGTAGTTAGCGAGCCATTCGACGATGTGCAAGATGAATCTGAATGTCGTTGCCATTATTGTCCCATTATCGCTTATTAATTAACTTTTATTGGTCATATTAAACGCATTGGCACAGCGCAGATGTAACCAATTTACACTGTGGCCTGTGAACTATTTTTATTTTTTCACTTCACTCCATCCGTCTGCAACACACGTGGTGTTATTCCGCGATATAATCCTTTCAATATGGGCCGAGGAGAGTTTCTGTTCCTCCTCCATGAATTCACCCCCACCTATCTCTCCCCTCTCATCTCACTCTACCCCCCTCCACGCACTCTCCTACCTCTCATCTCACTACCCCCCTCCACGCACTCTCCTACCTCTCATCTCACTCTACTCCCCTCCACTCACTCTCCTACCTCTCGCCTTACTCTACTCCCCTCAACGCACTCTCCTACCTCTCCCCTCTCATCTCACTCTACTCCCCTCCACTCACTCTCCTACCCCTACCCTCTCATCCCACTCTACTCCCCTCCACGTGCTCTGCTCCCTCTCCCCTCTCATCTCACTCTACTCCACGCACTCTCCTGCCTCTCCCCTCTCATCTCACTTTACTCCCCTCCACGCACTGTCCTATCTCTCCCCTCTCATCTCACTCTACTCCCCTCCACGCACTCTCCTACCTCTCCCCTCTCATCTTACTCTACTCCCCTCCAGAAACTCTCCTACCTCTCATCTCACTCTACTCCCCTCCACGCACTCTCCTACCTCTCCCCTCTGTGGGTAAAGTTTGGTCGAACAACCGCAATGAATGAAAGGGCGTGGGCAGGCCTTCAACCATCAGTGGATTGGCACATGGCAGTAGATCATTATTGCTGAGGTTTATGAGTGTGTGTGTGTTGGCAGTTTGCCTGCTGTATATCTTTTAAAGAGCATGCAACACAAGAATGTTTTAGCAGACATGCCAAGGTCACCGCGCCTCTGACATATATATAAAATCCAAACATCCCTTGAACTTGTTTTCATATCATGGGGTCACGCACGTGGAACACTCTAAAACTAAACTATTTTTTTTATTTTACCAGGTAAGGCCCACTGAGCTCTATATAAGCTCGTTTTTCAATTGCGTCCTGGCAATCACAAATGATAGCTCCACCAAGTGGTTTATCATCGCGTGGAAATTTATAGCAGCTGAACCCTCTGAACGCGTGGCGATGTTGATTCTAAATGTGGAGGGGGAAAAACCCGAAGAACTGGAGAAAAATCCACGCGACCACGGGGAGAGAGACACAAACTCCAAATATACAGCAGCAGGCGTCAGGGTTGGGATCAAACCCCACGACCTCCTGTATACCAGGTGAGGTAGTTAACATCTCCTAGCCACCGTGATGATGAGAGAGAGACACAAACTCCAAATATACAGCAGCAGGCGTCAGGGTTGGGATCAAACCCCACGTCCTCCTGCATACCAGGCGAGGTAGTTAACATCTCCTAGCCACCGTGATGATAATGAGAGAGAGAGACACAAACTCCAAATATACAGCAGGCGTCAGGGTTGGGATCAAACCCCACGACCTCCTGCATACCAGGCGAGGTAGTTAACATCTCCTAGCCACCCCGGGATGTTGAGACTCAATGGACTCACGTCTGTGTTGTAATAACTTTGTTGTTGTTGTTGTTTGTTCGTGTCTTTTGTTGTTGTTGTTTTGGTGCCATTTCTAGATTTGTTTATTAAAATTGCTTTGCTTGGTAGTTGTATAATTAATGTACGGCGTTATGGGATGCAATTAGCACGAATGACTCTGCTATACAACATTTAATGATAACGTCGTGATTATTATTATCATTAACTGGACGGATCGATGCATCGCGGAACCGCGAGAGGCGGCGACTGATTGGTGGGTGGGGGGGGGGGTGGGAGGGCCTTCATGCAGCAGTGGATAGATCATGCCAGCTGTAAGTGCTGCAGCATCTGCAGCAGTCACCGCTGCGGGCTTGCGGCTGCCGCGGTTCGATTCGCGCTCATCGGCGAAGCGCTGGCGGTGGCTGGCTGGCGGGAGGGCCTTCATCCAGCAGTGGATTGAACACGGCTGACGACGGCGCAGGGGAGAGCAGAACGTTTAAGGGGGGGGGGGGGGGGGGGGGTGGGGGGTGGATCGCCAGGTCAGGAGGTGTCCAGCCTCCCCTCCACTCAAGTGAAGGGAAACTCCGCACCATGATGAAGGGCTTGTTGCGTGGTTTTGTTGTTGTTGTTGTTGTAAATCGGTTCTGCGTGGGTTAGATCACGTGACTATAACTGCGTCGTTAAACCGGCCACCACCCGGCCCAGCCGATCGGTGAGGGGTTTGTCACGTAAACAGAACGCGTGGGTTAGTTACTACGTCGGCGCTGTTACAATGGGCTTTACTCAAGGCCGTAATTATAATATACAGTATATAGTGGGACACACATCCCCCCCAATATTCAAATATGCTCAAAATGTCTCCCCCAATATATTGCTATAAAATAGATTTCGGTTTATATGATTGTGGTTATGGTTGTACTTTATTAATCCCTCATCTCTGCCATTACATACAATGAAACAAGAAAATGTAAACAAAAATAACAAAAAGAAAAACCAGAGCAATGTAATACACTAACACTATTAGACATTATTGCAATAAATAAATAACTCCCATGTTTTGGTGAATTTTTTATATTTTAGACAGGAAATTCGTTTTAAAATTTAGATTTTTCTGGGGGGGGGGGACCCCCAGACCCCCTGGAAGATTTGGTCCCCCCCAATGTTAACTCCATGGCTACGGCCTTGGTTTTACGACCAGCTAGCACGTTTTGTTCACGCGACAAACCTCACCAATTGGTCCTGCCGGGTGGTGGTGGGTTTAACGACACACTAATACGTTGGTGATCTAACCCAGACCTCCCCCACCCGCCCCCCTATATTATGGATAATATTGGTCGCGAAAGCCACGTGGAACTCTGAACGTCTCTCGGACAACAGTGACCCCGACATGACCTGCCCCCACTTTCTCCCCCCCCCCACCACTCCGCCCTCTCCTGACCCCTCCCCCCATTACCCATCCGTGGGACCAGAGCCCGAGCTGAAGTCTCGGCAAGAGATATCATCGGGCGGAATTTAAATATTTGTAACCAAAAAAAACCTGTTTCCATTCCGCAAGCCCGTTTACAATAACCGCCGCGGGCCAAGTCTTGCGTGAAAACCGGCCCCACCACTACCACCGCGTGGCTGACACCACCACCACCACGTGGTTGACCCCGCCGCCACCACCGCGTGGCTGACACCACCACCACCACCACGTGGTTGACCCCGCCGCCCCTACCACATGTTTAGCCCCACCACCGCGCGTCTGGCTCGACCACCACCACCGCCACCACGCGTCTGGCACGACCACCACCACCACCACCGCCACCACCCACGTGTCGACCCCACCCCACCACCACGCGCGTCTGGCACTATCTCCGCTCCGCACCAAACGTGGGTCTCGACCGCCGTGCGATCGATCGCCTGCGTCGCTACCCCCCCTCCCTCCCCACCACCACCACCACGCGCCGTGGCACCGGGGGCCGTAGCTACCTCCACGTGGGCGAAGTGAGGCTCCAGGGCGGGCGAGTACTCGGGCAGGCCCAGCTGCTGGAGCCACCAGGACGTCGGTAGGTGACGCATCGCCCCCAGCTATTGCGCCCCTCTGTTGGCAATACGACATCGGCATGATCATCATTGTCATCATCATCATCGTTATTGCTATGACGCTTGACTCAGCCCCAGTGTCGTAGTCACGACATTGTCAGCTCAGGGGGTACGGCAATCGGGTCAGGTGGGGCCCCACCATTTGATTTGTCTCGCACGGTGGCAGCCTAGAGGCTGTCTGTCTGTCGCGGCCCCTCTCGCCCCTACCGCAATCGTCGCTACGCTCACGGCCTCCAACATTTAGCGCTGTAGGGGGGGGGGGGGGGGGGGGGGGGGGAGCCTCCCTCCGTCTTCGCACAACACGCGGCCACGGCAGCTCCCTGGCGTGGTCACCTCTTTGCGTGCCCACTACGGCGGACCGCTCTCATCGAATGAAAGCATTTTCGTAAAAGTGAAAATAAGCCGCGTTTTAAACAAGTTTTTTTTAATGACTGTTGAAAACAAATCTCACGATGATTGTCAAGGGGGCCCCAACTCGTAGCTTTGGCAAGGCACCCCCCCCCCCTTGCCCCCCCCCCCCCCCCATGCGAGTTACGCTCCAGCTCAGCCCATCGTCTATTGAGGGGCACTAAAATGAAATACCAACTTGGTGGGGAAGTCACCGCTGGCTGCCCTATGGATGGAGTGGGGGACGTTGAATTCCCACCGCTGGCCATGCGAAGCGGATAGCTCTCATATTCTCGGTTCTTTCGGTAAAGTCGCGTAGAAGGGAAATAATTAAATAAGAGAAATAAAACATGATAAAATAAAATTCTCACGACGTTTCGGCCACAACGCAAGTAGCCGTGACTTTACCGAAAGAACCAAGAATATGAATCCCTGCAGTCACGAAAGCTTTCAATCGGATAGGCCTAATTTGCGACAGTGACCTTGGCGACCAACATTACAATGGCAAATAACATTCAAACAAACAAGCAACAAATACCACGGGGACGACGAAGTAAATAGCGACCGATGATGTCTTGAGCGGCGTGTGTGTGTGTGTGCTATTGTTTTTTACGCAAATGGCAGGACTTTAAATATCCCGGGAAGACTTCTGATGCCGACCGTGGTTCTACGATGGATGGACTGCAGGCTCGCCCCCTCGCCATGGAAACGTGGAATTTCCACCACTGGCTCCGCAGGGCTGTAAATAGGAGATGGGTAGTCGCAATGCCTCAATGCTCATTTGGGAAGCTGGAAATCGCTTCGAATGCAGGGCAGGTAAATCGCTTTTATTGAGATGGTGATTGTTGGTGACTTATGGGTCCTAGAAGGCACTGCTGCGCGGACCTATACCTTGTTGCTCACAAGAACACATCTTCCCACAATGCAATATGCCAGCAATATATTTCATCCTTTGACTTTCAACATAACAGTTAATGGCGTAGAAGTCGTAGTACTTTATTTAATTGCTACAAGAGGTTGTTACCCAATAGCTACTAAACGTGTAACTAGTCGCAGCGGCTTTTGGCTCAGCCAAGTCGGTCACTGCTGTTTTTGCGCGCTTTCAGATGCGCCTCTGCGGCCGTCTGGAACGCTCTTCTTTCCGATATGAGGAAGCCCACTGGAGACATGCACTTTTAAATCAGCATCTAGATTGACAAACTAATTAATTTTGAACTGCTTTTTGTGTTTAGTTTGCTGTCCTTCCCCGCACCACCGGCTACGCACGGTGCAAAAGAAGTCAACATACATAACATTCAAATGCAAAATTATAAATATCGGTCATCAGAAAACATTGTTAAGCTGTCATTCTCATCAGGGCCTCCATGGTGTAAACAAAAGGCGTCTTCAAGTCTGATTATAATCCACTACAAGGCTCTCCATTCATGTGGCTTGAAGCAGGGCCATTGCCCGAAACGTTGCCTACACACACGGGGCGTTATTGACGAACGCCCTTGAGTTTGTGGTTGATGTTCTTTTGTTGTTGTTGTTGATGTTGTTGTTTTTGTTGTTAATGCTGTTGTTGTTGACGTTGTTGAGTTTGTTGCTGCTGTTATTTAAGTTGTTGATGTTGTTTATTTTTTGATGTTGTTAATGTTGATGTCGTTAATGTTGTTTTGTTGATGTTGTTGATATTATTTTGTTGATGTTGTTGATGTTGTTGTGGTTAAAATCTTGGCTGCCGGACAAAATCCACGGGGTTGTACAGATCTCTACGAGTGGTGATTATGATGATGGTGGTGGTTGGTAGTGGTGGTGATCGTGATGATGATGGTGGTGGTGGTGATCGTGATGATGATGGTGGTGGCTGGTAGCCGTGGTGATCGTGATGATGGTGATGGTTGGCAGTGGTAGTGATCATGAAGATGGTGGTGGTGATGGTTGGCAGTGGTGGTGATCGTGATGATGATGGTGGTGGCTGGTAGTGGTGGTGATCGTGATGATGATGATGATTGTTGTTCTTTGCCTGGCACTCGCTCCAAGGCACGCCCCGTTTGTACGTGTGGTTTATTTTTTTTAAATAACCGAGCCCATATTTTCCATCCAGCTCGTAGCAAAATACGTCAAAATATGTTTTTTTTACTTTTTATATTTTATTTTTTATTTGTATGTACTCGTGAAGCAAGCTCAGGTAGAATAGGGGGAGTAGTAAACTTGACTTGTCGCAGGTAGGACAGCCATGCATCGTTGACGAGACGCTAGCTCCCCCAACCCCCCCTTACGAGTGATGACTTTGTTCCAACACGCCGAGTTTCGCGGGGTGCGACGTCGTTTCGTAACGTTGTCCGACGTTTCGCCCCCCCCCCCCACGCTTGTGGGCTTCCTTGGAAAGTTGACAGGAAGTGTTGGTGTATTTTGTTGTTTCATCTCCAGGTCAGATCACGCCATCTCAACAACAACAACAGCAGCAGCAACAACAACATACTTGGCACGAGTTGCAGCCGTGCGCTGCTCGATGGCCCGACGTTTCGCTCCAGGTGCCGGCAGCTTCTTCAGGAACTGAATTCGGTCGTTTAACATTGTTTTCAACAAGAAACCGGACTCTGCTGATGAGACCAAAGAAGGTGGAATCCAGATCAGAGTTTTCAACAAGAAGCCCGGCTCTGCTGATGAGACCAAAGAAGATGGAATCCAGACCAGGGTTTTTAACAAGAAGCCCGACTGCTGATGAGTCCAAAGAAGGTGGAATCCAGATCAGGGTTTTCAACAAGAAGCCCGGCTCTGCTGATGAGACCAAAGAAGGTGTAATCTATACCAGGGTTTTTAACAAGAAGCCCGACTGCTGATGAGTCCAAAGAATGTGGAATCCAGATCAGGGTTTTCAACAAGAAGCCCGACTCTGCTGATGAGACCAAATAAGGTGGAATCCAGACCAGGGTTTTAGCATTTATCAAATTATGCTGTAGGATATAGTTAAATAATATATTGTATGTATATATTTATGAATACACATCTCGTGTGTTCTCAATTTATAGCCTGACACGTGGGACGATCATATTTTACTTTGCTTTTGCCATCTGTAATTCATCTGATCTTATTCCAAAATGTAATCGATTTTATATGGAGCGATCATATTGTATGAGTAGTTTGGTGGATGAGTGGGTATGTGGATGAGTGGGTAGGTGGAAGAGTTGGTAGGTGGATGAGTGGGTAGATAGGTGGATGAGTGGGTAGGTAGGTGGATGAGTGGGTAGGTGAATGAGTGAATTAGGTTGGAAAGTAGGTGGATGAGTGGATCGGTAGATAGCTGGATGAGTGGGTAGGCGGATGAGTTGGTAGGAAGATGGATGAGTGTGTAGATGAATGCGTGGTTAGGTAGGTGGATGAGCAGTTTGGTAGATAAGTTGATGAGTGATGTTGGAAGGTATGTGTACGAGTGAGTTGTTAGGTGAATGAGTGGGTAGGCAGCTACTGTAGGGGGAATGAGTGAGTAACCATAACCGGTTGAGCACTCATCAAGACTCGGAGATTGTGTTTATCTTGGAAGACGTGGTGGGATAAACACAGCGGGGATCATAATTGCAGCGCTCATCGCACAAACACTGGGAAATGAACCCATCATTATCGTACACAATGTTGTTTGGAATTCCTCCGTTCCTTAATTATCCGTCGCGACCACAGCCCCACCCCCCTCCCCCCCCCCCTTCTTCTTTTAATAATCACCACGTTCCGATTAACCCGATGCGTGGAGGCGATATTCATCTCTCGAGATATCATCTCTCGCTGTTTACTCGCTGTGTAAACACTGCCCCCCCCACGCCCCCCACGCCCCCCCCACGCCCCCCCACGCCCCCCCCACGCCCCCCCACGCCCCCCGTAATTGTAGTGAGGAGTCAAAACTGAACACCGCCCACTGGGGTGAGGGTCGGGCGAGAGACCGCTTGACTCTCAAACTTTCTAAACTAAAAACTAATTTAATTTTTACTTAAAACTTTCGTGACTGCAGGAATGCATATTCCATGGTTCATTCGGTGAAGTCACGTAGATAGAGGAAAAAAACAATGAAAAAAAAGTTACTAAAAAATATCACGACGTTTCCATGGCAACACAAGCGGTCGTTCTTTTTTCTACCTACAAATTCCAGAAATCAACACGTGATAGCTCAACGAGGTGGGGTTATCATCATCGCGTGGAAATTTATAGCGGCCATATACTCTGAACGCGTGGTTGACGTTGATTGTAAACGTGGAGAGGAAAAGCCGGAGGAGCCGGAGAAAAATCCACGCGACCACGGGGAGAGAGACACGCAAATTCCAAATATACAGCAGCAGGCATCAGATCGGGATCGAACCCACGACCTCCTGTAGACCAGACGAGGTAGTTAACATCTCCTAGCCACCGTGATGATAAGAAAGAGAGACACGCAAACTCCAAATATACAGCAGGCGTCAGGGTCGGGGATCGAACCCACGACCTCCTGTACACCAGGCGAGGTAGTTAACATCTCCTAGCCACCGTGATGATGAAGAGAGAGAGACACGCAAACTCCAAATTTACAGCAGCAGGCGTCAGGGTCGAGGATCGAACCCACGACCTCCTGTATACCAGGCGAGGTAGTTAACATCTCCTAGC